CCCCTCCTGACAACCTTGAAGCTCCATTCCAGAATCTTCCCCGCTCAGGCTATCCATCACAGCAGCATACTAATAATACCATATCCACCCCTGTGAAAAAGCAGAGGAAGAAGGAATAAACCTTGCAGTACCTACATGGGAGCAACCCCTTGGCCAACCTTTCTCCCCCCTGCCCAATCAGTTGGAATTACCTACTGAGGATAGAATAGAACCACTGCAAATCAGTGCCTCCAGTCCCTATCCCTGCAGATGATCCAGGAATATACCATGATCAATGGCTTCAAAGGCAACTGAGAGATCCAGAAAGACTAAGAGGGGCACATTACCCCCATCCAGGTACCACAGAGGACTTCAACAAAAACAACTGAGGCTGTCTCCATCCCATGCCCAGATCTGAGTTCTGACTGAAAAGATAGTAGTCTTTCTCCAAAATGCTCTGCAGCTGTACATTGACCATAGTTGTAACAACTTCCTCCCTAAAAGTGAGGTTAAATACAAGGTGATAGTTGTCAAATATAGACAGATCAAAGTATGCTTTTTAAGACGGGGTGAGGGAAGACTGGCATTGCCCCCTCCTGAGGTGAGGCACTGACTATGTACTGAACCCAATTTATCACCCTCCCTCCAGATCTTCTAGAGAACCAGAGGAGCAAGGATAAAGCCCACGTAAGGCTGGGGACGGTTGAGAGAGCTCTCTATCTGTATACTGGGAAAAGACTGAGGCAACTGAAGCCAAAGAAAGAATCTGCAAAAAGAGCCAGCAGAAAGGAAAATGCAGACTGTAGAGGGTGGCAGAGCAAACTCCTAGTAGTTCAGGTGCTGGGTAAGTAGGCAACTGTGTTAAGGAGGAGAAACGTTGTTAGCATTCCTTAGTCTGTCTGTAGGGAAATAAGTATGGGAGGTGAAAGAAACTAGCAGCAAAGGAGTAGAAGTTCAAGTCATTTAAATAAATTCTGTTAGCACACCTTATATTTAGATTTTCTTAGAGTAGGTGTTTCCATACATGCATATAAACTTAGCATACATACAGTTGGACTGTAAGGCCTAGGAAACAGAAATGAAGCAGAAGAAAGACTTATCAGGTTCTGCCAATCCTATTATTTCTTCATAATATTTTTTTCTTTTCTATTTTTTATTTTTTGCACCTTTTTATTTTTTTTTCATTTCTATTAGTTTATCATTGTAATTTTTAATAAAATTACTATTAAAAAAAGAAAATGACTTGATGGCACATAATCAATGAATCAATCGGGACTGTGGAATGAAATCCTAACGTTGTTAAGGATGAACATGAAATGAGACTGCCAAAGACCAAGAAACAAGAAAGCAGAGTGGATGTTTGAAAAGATGGTGGGAAATTGGCAAGAGAACCTGAACCTCATTGTTAGAGAAGCAGAGGAATGGTGAAATGAAATCACTTGTTAAGGATAAATGTGAAAAGTGACCCACCCCCTGAATGGCCAGAGTGGGGACAGATCATCCTTCAGAAAGTCTATCTGTGTGGTTGCTGAATCGACACCAACTTGATGGCACGTAATCCCAAACGGCGCAGCAGGCAAAGCCTTTTGCACGTAATACAGCACCTCGAAAAGGAGGCGATGGGGAAAGAGGAGGGGTGTGTGAGGCCAAAGAAGCGATCGATAGAAATAACAACGGGCTGGTTCGCGCTTCGCTGTCTTGTGTGAACACAGCCTACCCCCTGGAAAAGATGCTGCTGTGCCATTATCAGCCCTTTCGACGGCGCTTCTCAGGGTAGAAAGCGCTCACAGCCCACCCCCCGTCCACCCCCCCCGAGCCATCTTTGTAATCCTCCGCAGCTCCTCCCCCCTCCTCCTTTCGCCCAGCCAATGGTCTGGCTAACTAGCGCCGCTTCCGTAGGACCCGCCCCCTCTCCCTTTGACCCCGCCGATGTCTCCGCGTTCCATCTTCCTGTTCCAAACCACGTGGACGCGCGCTGGGCACTGCGGGGCAACCGTGGCGGCGCGGTGATCATAACAACGAGCGAGATTTGTCGTCCGCCTGCTTGGCTGGCTCCGGAGCTGGCGGCTTGGCTCGGCCGGTGGCAGCGGCGCCCACCCGGTTACCATGGCGAGCCAGCCTCCCTCCCTCAGCTATGTTGGGTGCAACTT